TGTGTGTTTGCCACAGATCTCATTTTCTGCAACATTGCAAAATCCAAAAGGGAACTCATGCTGGATTTTTGCAGAGGGGGAGCTATGTGATGATTAGAGATGTCCCGATCCGATCACGTGATCGGGGATCGAAGCCGATCACGGGATTTTCAAAAGATCGGAATCGGGATAAAAAAAAAAATCGGGGTTCGGGATTTCTTTTTTTTTTATATATACTTTTCCAAAAAAAAAATGTATTCAATGTTACAAAACAAGAATGACCATGTTCAAGTCTTAAAGTCATCCTGAGGCCTTAGTTTTGGTTTCAAATTACACAACATCATGTATGTGTTGCTTCTTTGGGGCTTGTTTTCATAGACCTGGTTGCTTATTTCTCTCAAATCTGGCAACAGAGTGGGCAGGGCGCAGTGTCTAATTGTAGCAGTAAGCTAACGAGTACTGATAAGCTTTATTTTGTTTTGATCCAATGCTGCACAACTGAACTGATCCAATGCTGCTGTGAAAGAAAGAAGCTATATCCATGTTGGATAGAATATCCAATTTAAATAAAAAAATAACCTTAAGGGACAACTTGAATGCTTTTTTTCTTTTTTTTCTCTTAATGCATTGCATAAAGATCGGATAGGGAAAAATCGGTATCGGCAAATTGTCAAAATCAAATGATCGGAATCGGAAGCAAAAAAAGGTGATCGGGACATCCCTAGAGATGATAACTTGTGGTTAGGCTTACGTCACCACTCCATCAGTAACCAGATGGTGTTCTCATAACAGCTTAAAAGTTGAGTGTGGAACGCTGGACACACTTTATATCGCAACGATCGCAATCTACGTAACAAAAGTGGCTAAGGTGAACACGGCAACACAAACAAATAATATATGTGGGATGTTTCCACTATAAAGTAACGTGTTAGTTTACTAGAGTCAAAAAGGAATCCAGCATGATTGTATAGGGTTGTTTGAGCAGCCTGTACAGCAAATGATTGTTGCTATCAAGCTAGCGAACAACGGCAATCGTCCCTTCTGGAGAGGGCACAGCAGCAGTGTGAGATATGAGACTGGTTTGAAATGCATGCTTTAGTGTTAGAGTGCAGCGTAGGAAGGAAAGTGTCCGAATCGAGACACAGCGTCCGTCTCCTGTCTGGGCTTCACTCTCATGATCTACGGGCAAGTGGACGCTGCACACAGAGCTTTTATGATGGACTGAATTATTGATGACGTTGAAATCAAATCCAGGTTCTTTCTCTTTTGCACAGTGTGTGATTTAACTCAGAGGATGCAGATATTATGCGAGAGCCAGAGGCATATTCGTTTACAGTTATTGTGTGTCGAGGAAACACCATAGCAACACAACACAGTAGAAAAGTGTTAAAAAGACCTAAATAAATACAGAGAAGTGACTGACCTTGCGGCAGCGAGGGTTGGGGCAGCTGAACAGAGACATGTTTTTGTCCAACAACGCGGGGAAAGTGCAAAACGGACACCTGAAAAGGGAAAAGAGAGGAGGGAGGGAAAGATATGACACATTGCACTTGAGACACAAGAAACATATCATAATCAACAAGGAGACATTTCAGTCCCCTTACCGATCCCTTTAATTTAAATGCATCAATACTGACCTAGTGCGCACGTTTCAAATGATTCATTTGTCTAACATTATTTGTGAATATTTAGACAAAAGTTGGACAAAATGTTGGAATACAAACCATTCTCAGGGTATATGCAGGAATCCTGAAGTAATACCTTTTAAGACCTTTTCCATACATTTTAAGTATGACACAGGCACACACACAGACACAATGACACAGACACACACACAATGACACAGACACACACACACTGACACACACACAGACACACACTGACACAGACACACACCAGAGTCCTGCATCGGGTCGGGTATCCGCGGGTACCCGACGGGTGACCCGCAAAAAAGGTGATTTAAGGGTGGTATTTTTTCAAACGCTTTTTTCCGGGTTCGGTTCTGGGTAAAACAAAGATGATGCGGGTCGGGTTGCGGGTATTGCATAATAAATATATTTAAATAATAATAATTTAGTTTAATGTTTAAATCCTCAGACCTCTCCCCCGCGGGACCGAGCATAATCATAACCTCTGCAGCGCATCTATCTGCTGCTGAGCGCGCCACATTCTGAATGGCTGAGGTGAAGCTCTCTAGCGGAGAATACAGCATTTTCAATAACTCTTCCTCAAGAGCGAAATCCAACGTCTGGGAGGCTTTTGGTGTCATCCTAGATGCAGAAAATAACCAACATCCCAGGCTTTTTGAGCCAAATATGCAACTGCGTGTGTTAATAATTGCACGTTTTCACTGCTTATATATATGCGGGTTCGGGTCGGGTTCCGCAACCCGACCCGAACCCGCATATATATAAGCAGTGAAAACGTGCAATTATTAACACACGCAGTTGCATATTTGGCTCAAAAAGCCTGGGATGTTGGTTATTNCGCCCCCAGACCCCCCCAGGCTTTTGGCTCAGCATAGACAACACTCCAATCCCATCGCCATTACAACACTAGCTCACCGGACACAAGGGGGCAGCAAAAATGATATATATCTTTTTATGTTTATATAAATATGTATTTAATTTTATCTTTTTATTGCACACCTCTTCTATTGAATACACAATATATACAAATAAACATAATATATTATTATTTTAAATGTAAGCTATTCTATACATTCTATATATTGTATATTATACATGTATAAAATCATATTATCAAGTTATTTTGTTTTGTTTTGAGTTACATTGAGACCTCTATGATTGTGACCACATCAACTGAGTAACGTAAAAACTACATTTCCCAGAGTTCAACAGCCGTACGTAGCGACGGGTGCCGTACGCGTGACGTCGGTACTGTTCTTGTTTTGGCAGTTTGTTTCGATATTCACCGAAAGCCAGTCCATCAAGAGGGTGTTTTGTGTTGGTTCTCCACCACCCAGCTGCGGTATTGTACATTTCTGGATGTGTTTTGTTTAAACCTAGGTATTAAACTGTTAACGGTCGTTTTGAAGCAATGTAACCCGTAGAAACCCCGACATTAGTGAGCTAAGTACTTAACCTACTAGCTAGCTAGCAAGCTAACTAACATTAGCTTAGCTTAAAAGCAGTTTGTTCTGCGCGGAAATGATCGATTTCTGCTCTGACATGTTTGTTTTTAACTTCAAGATCTGAAATATTAAGAAAACCTCACTGTGTTAAGACTACTGTCACTTTGATAAACTGAATACAAGTCCATATATGCAGTGTTGCATCACTGCCAGCGTCTGCAGTTTATCAAAATGAAAGATTTGCATTGATTTCATGCCAACTTTGATCAGATCAAGCACAAATAGGGTTGGGTTCCTGAGACAAAATGTCGGAGTGACTGTTTCTTGTAAGATCAGGTCAGCAAACACAATAAAACAACTTTCTGTTAGCTACCTCATGTTGATTCTAGATTGAGAGACTAACCCCGCTCCCTGTGTTAAGATTTCAGTTTTATTTTAAAGTACCTCTTTTTGTTAAGTTCTCTTATGATTGCATGACAACTGCAGCGTGGCATATGAGTTCTTTATTAGTCTTATTTGGTCAGGTTACACACTCACTGGCCCCTTTATCAGGTACACCTGTGCAACGGCTCGCTAAAGCAAATATCTAATCCGCCAATCACAAGGCAGCAACTAAATGCATTTAGGCATGTAGTTCAAACAGAGCATCAGAATGGGGATGAAAGGTTATTTTAAGTGACTTTGAACGTGGCATGGTTGTTGGTGCCAGACGGCTAGTCTGAGTATTTCAGAAACTGCTGATCTACTGGGGTTTTCAACACAACCATCTCTAGGAATGGTCAGGAAAAGAGAACATATCCAGTGAGAAGCAGTTCTCTGCGCCAGAATGCCTTGTTGATGCCAGAGGTCCGAGGAGAATGGACTGGTTCAAGATGATAGAAAGGCAACAGTAACTCAAATAACCACTCGTTACAACCAAGGTATGCAGAAGGCCATCTCTGAACCACATCATGTCGAACCTTGTCAGCTAAGAACAGGAAACTGAGACTACAATTTGCACGGGCTCACTAAAGCTGCACAATAGAAGATTGGAAGAATGTTGCCTGGTCTGATTAGTCTATATTTCGGCTGTGACGTTCGGGGTAGAGTCAGAAGTTGGCGTAAACAACATGAAAGCATGGATCCACCCTGCCTTGTATCAACAGTTCAGACTGGAGGTGGTGGTTAAAGGTGTGGGGGATATGTTATTGGTATACTTTAGGCACTTTGTTACCGATTGAGCATCGTCTAAATGCCTCAGCCTACCTGAGTATTGTTGCCGACCATATCCCTCCCTTTATGCCCACAGTGTACTCATCTTCTAAGGGCTACTTCCAACAGGACATGTCACAAAGCTCAAATCGTATCAAACTGCTTTCTTTAACATGACAATGAGTGCACTGTCCTCAAATGACCTCAACAGTCACCTGATCTAAATCCTATAGAGAACTTTTGGGTGCTCAATATGGACCAAAATCCCTGAGAAATGTTTCCAGCTCCTTGTTGACTCTAAGCCACGAAGAATTAAGGCAGTTCTGAATATAAAAGTGGGTCAAACACCGGAACTAGCAAGATGTACCTAACAAAGTGGCCGGTGAGTGTTTACACAGTGGTGGGTAGTAACAATATATATTTACTCAATGACTGTACTTTTTGAGTACAAGTTTGAGATACTTCACTTGAGTATTTTTTACGTTATGCTACTTGTACTTTTATTTTACTACATTTTGGAGGCAATTTTTTACTTCATTATATTTATTTGACCAATTTAGTGAACCGCTAATTTGCAGGTATACATTTATAATAAAAAATATAAAACACCAAGTGCAACATTAATATTAATTCATTAATAATAAGTATTATAGAAATCTGATAGGGGCCACTGGAAAATTATTACTTTTACTTTTTGTACTTGAAGAATATTTTGATGCCAATACTTTCGTACTTTTACTTGTGTACAATTTTGTATTCTGGACTTTTACTTGTAACATAATATTTTTACCATGTAGTATTGCTACTTTGACTGAAGCAAAAGATCTGAGTTCTTCTTCCACTTCTGTTTTTACAGTAATAGGTTGGAGTCCAACCCTTATTGTGTTTAGTAAATGCTATGACAACTATCATTGAAATAATTTGTAGGAATTCACGGGGAATGCCAGTAGTTTAAGGTGTGTGTGTGTGTGTGTGTGTGTGTGTGTGTGTGTGTAGATGGTATTGATCGAGCAGTGACAGATTGCAGGAGCTGGAAAGTTTAGTTTCACAATGGCAGATGGAGGCAGCGATGATGAGGTCATTCACCTGGCGAGCTTCAACGTCCACCGCAGCCAAGGTGAGATATTTTGTCAATATCAACAGTGAGATATATTCTAGTGACAGTTTGTGACAACAACTGGCCTCCTACACCATGCTGCTATTTACATGTGACAATTTCGTTTCAGCACAAGGCTGACTTGCTTTCTGTCATACTGACCCTGGTTTGACAACATAGTAAACTATATTATCTAGACATAGTTTCAAGGTTGTGGTTTTTCTAGTGATAAGAAACTTCGCTCTTCGGCGTGCTACACAACAGCCATTATTACATGCTAAGTTAAAAGGGCTGTACCGAGTGTATGTATATCATATATATATATATATATATATATACTATATGTGTGTATATATTTATATAAACATTTCTAATAATATATAATCTATTTCTTCCTCTCGTTCACACACTTATAATCATAAATAGCCACACAATAAACAAACCCTAATATTTACTCCTTCGTTGTAGGCTCCCGCTCCCGTAAGAGGGAGCTCATCACCATCTCCGATGACTCAGATGAGGAGCCTGTGACTCTGGTGCCGAGCAGCCCTGTTTTAGTTCCAGATGATGACGACGTCAGCATATTAGAGGTGAGTGATAAACCCTGTTCTTTCATTTGTTATATATATCAAAGAGGATCCCTGCTGTTGTGAATTCCCTGTGCTGCCCAAACACTGCCCTCTAGAGGGCTAATGAACGTTCACCTGCCTGTCACCAAATGCTCCTGATTTGGGGAAGTGACAGCAGGTGTGATCAGGACACACTCAGATGAAGACTAATTACTGCTGCTACTGAAAGAGCACACAGACTAGCAGGAAAGCCTCTCCAGTCCTGCTCCCTCATGCGTCCTGAGATTGTAAATGTCCTTTGTGTTGCCCTTAGTTTGAACCCGTATGGTTTCCCTTTGAAAAAAGCACCAGCTAAATGCAATGTAATATTAAGTCTCAGGAATAGGAGTAGCAGGCCGGATCACTATGCAGCTCCAAAATAGTTCATTCAGATGTTATCCTTTATTCCTCTGATTTGAATATTGCACTACTCCTATATTGCGACTGATACAATTCTGATGAATTATGCTCCCCTACCTTTTTACTTTGTACAACAATTGTAAACTTTTTAGACAAGTTTAACCTTGTATTTTGATATACAGCATTCATGGGCTACATTTGACTCCTATCGATAACAGCAGCTGCAGAAGTATCATCTTTGTTTCCATTTATCTATCCACTCCTCTCTCTTGCTTCCTGTGTTTTCCTGTAGCCGCTCACACCTGCTCGCAAACACGTGATTCGCCCAGCCGCCAAATGGAGTGGGGCGCTGCGCGTCCCGGTTCAAATTTTCGATCACAGTAGCGAAACTCCTGGGGTTCCCTCAGCGGACCCTGGTCCCGCCCCCTCTACCTCCAGAGACGCCACAGCCAGCTCCTCCGCAGCGAGGCTGGCCACACGGACACACACAGCGGTGCAGACGAGTGGATACACACAGTCACACCCCGGCACCTCGTCACACACACACACTCAGCCAAAACCCAACAGGAACTCGCAGCAGCAGGACGGTACGCCAGCACACACAAAAGAGGAACCCCACTCAGTTCCCATCCAAACCCCATCTACCTCTGCAAACGCCAACACATCCATTACACCAGGAATAAATCTGCCTCAGCCTAGCACATCTGGACTCACACACTCTTCAGTCAGGGGGGGGGCGAGTTCCTCCTCCAGTGCCACACGCTATCGTTCTGTATCAAGTTCTTCTACTAAGACTAAAGAACAGGCGAGCGCTCAGTCACATGACAACCCTCAGGCCAGCACTTCCTCTGCTCACACGCGGATGCTGTCTCAGCCCGGTACATCTTCACAGCCCCCCCCCACCACCACCACCACCTTACAGCAGTGCGTCATCGTGTCGGGGGTCAAAATAGTGGTTCTTCCGCAGCATCCGAGCACCCAGGCCTCGGCTCCACAGCTGCAGCTCCGGCCTCAGAATGTGCTGCAGCCGGTGTCGCTCAACCGCCTGCAGGGGAACCTCGTTCAGATGGAGCTGCGGCCCCTGGCTCAGGCCCCCGCCCAGCCTGCAGCCCACCCCCCTCTCCCCCCCTCAGGTGTCCCGGTCCGCGCCCCCCCTGCAGTGCTAATAGCTGCAGCCCCGGAGAGACTGGGCCCTCCTGAGGCGGGTCACCGGATCATCTTAGGGAGCCAAGCGCCCGGGGAGCACCTTCCCAACGCCCCCCCGCAGGCCGGCCCCTCCGGAGGGCTCCCAGCAGCCTGGTCCCACCAGCGGGGCCCCATCAGCCTCCACATCCGGGCCCCTAACTTGGTCTTGAACGCTCCCGCTCCTCCAGCTCCTCCAGCTCCCGCAGCTTTGGTTGCCGGGGGAAACGCTCGTCTCGTTCCTGCTCCAAACCCAGAAAGAGTTAACCCCACCCTGGGACTGGTGGCCGTGCCGCCCGCTGCGGAGGACGCCCCCCGAATCGAGGACGCCAGGCCCGGCCCCTCCGCAGCAGGAGGGAGGGCCGAGCTGCTGCCCCACGTCAGAGCCCTCATCACTGGGGTGGTGAGTACCACACAGTACCACACAGTGTGCATTCAGACTCAATATGTTTGTTTGATATCATCTGATGGCGGAAAAATATCCATTTGACACAGGACTAAGAGTCTAAGGCTAAATAAGTAACAGCTGACACAATAAAAAAAAAAAAAACGAAATAAATAAAATGACTAATGTAATAACTTTTTCAACTCAAAGTAAATCATGAAGGATACAAAATGATTAAATGTGAGACCTTCAACAAAAAAGCATTTTTATCTTAAGACTTATTCTGAAATGGCTTTCAGATTCAACCCTGGTGTCACTAAGAGTTCACGTATTTGCATGTTCTGCATGGCTTATCTACATCATGAGATGAATAGTTGATATTTGATGAATCTGAATGATTTACATTGTGGTAAAACTGATCCTCACCTTCCTCCTGTTTGACTCTGTCTGCCTCTACAGTTGGATCTTTTCCCAGACGTCCTAGAAGCCTATGTAGCAGAACTGATCCAAACGAATACTGTGATGGACTTGAATGTGTAAGAAGCATCAACTTTTTTCTACAGTGCTTCATATTAAGTGAGGAGTAATAAACTGATTTAGATTTTCAGGAAATTCCAAAAAGACCCGCTGAATGATTTTGCCCTTTGCCTTCTAGCTTAGTTTTATGATGAGTAAGTGATTTCCTTTCTCTCTTAATGCTGTGTCCTCAGGATCTGTAACCTGCTGTTGGAGAACCCTGAGTATCCAAGGGGCGGGGGTGCAGCGAACCTAGCCCCCACCAGCATCCTGCTGGAGTCTGGAGACACCCAGACAGAGGTGTGTGTGTGTGTGTGTGTGTGTGTGTGTGTGTGTGTGTGTGTGTGTGTGTGTGTGTGTGTGTGTGTGTGTGTGTGTGTGTGTGTGTGTGTGTGTGTGTGTAAAAAAAATATTGAAGAGACAGATCACGTTTTGTTCTACGACATTAAATCCATCAGCAGTGACCCCACTGGTTATTTCTGAAGAGTTGACGTGTCTGAAAAACGATCATTGTTACCAAGTGGCTGAATAGGACTTCAGAAGTTGTGGAGGTCGTTGTACGTCATTACACCGAATACGTAAACACTCTAAGTTTGTTTGCCCCTGTTCTGCTTGAAAGCAAGTACCTGCAAACTGTTAAAACAAACGCTTCAACTTGTACCATTTAGAATCTGTATGTTTGAATATGGATCTTAAGTTGGCGTGACGTTGAAGTAGAGACCCTGCTGTAGTTTGTTTATAGCATAACGTTAGCATTTTGCTTCTGGATTAGATTTATGATTGTAAAATGATAAAAGTAGAGTAGACCTATGTGGAGGTTAACCCGCTGAACAAAACGTGCATTTATCAAACAGGTTAGTTTTGCACAGACCTTATTTCGAGCTATTTTCCAAAATCCTATGGAGAAATCCCATTTGCTTTTTTGTCGAGGGAACCCATGCGCAGCTTATTTCCGGGTAAATACGTCAACCCTGCACCACTCTATTCCAATTTGATTTCTTTAGTTGCATTTGAATCACATATCTTGGTGTTTGAGTAAAGTGTTTATGCGTCTGTTTTGGGTCCTTCCAGGTGACCGAAGACCTGTTTGACTTTAACAAACTGGGCACGGTGGGGCTGGAGGCGTCCATGCAGGCGGCCGACCTGCTGATGGCAGACTTCAGGATGCTCAGCTGTCAGGACATCAAATGGTCCCTCAACGCTCTGAAGGGACACTATGCAATCACACGCAAGGTACCTGTGGCCTCTTGGTTCGTCTGAGCAATGCCATCTCTTTCTTTTTATTTACTTGGGTTGTTCATACATGTGCTTTGTTCATTATAGGCCTTATGTGAAGCGCTGAAGAAGAGGCAGGAATCAGGCGACCCTTCAGGGAAGAGAAGAAGATGCAGAGCCCCCTCCTCCGAGCGCTGCTACGTAGACTTTAATTTTGAGCATGGTGAACAAACTTATCAACACTTCTAATAACTGCTAACCCTATTGTACGGTTCCTTTTAAAACAAGCAGCTGTTTGTTTAAATGCTGCTTCCATTCGCAAAGGCTTCAGTGTCAACCTGCAGGTGCATCATGGGACGACATTTTATAGTCTCTGGGTGTTTCTCAATGTCGAGGAGGCTTGCTTGGTAGCACATGTCTTCCGAGTCACTTGCTTCAGAAACGAGGCAAGAATCCTTCCTAGCCTCGGAAAACAAAGAATGGTGGAAGAAGTAGGTGTGCAGGTGTGCGTCATAAATGGAGCGCTATTTCCGCCAAAGATTTGGAAATTGGTCCGTGCGCAAAGCATTGTGGGGATTTTAAGATCGCGGAGTCTACACATATGCAGCTTGAAATTTCTTGCTACGAAGTACGCCGGGCTCGGTAGACTTCAAAGTCTGCTGGACATTGGAACAGTCCTTCGGCGGCACTCGATGACTTAGTATGCTTGAAATAGTGGCTCTGGAGCAGCCTTCCTCGACATTGAGAAACGCCCTCTGTGTTCTTGAAAAGCTGTTTTTAGTTTGCTGTAAAGGGAGCTGATTTATGGATGGATGGGGGTGGGGTCAAACCTGGATGATGGCGCTCGGGGGTGGATGCCTGTCAGCCGTCGGTGATGGATGTTGCCATGGCTCCTCAGCTGTCCCATCACTCACTGGCCTCCCTCTCTCCAGCAGGCTCTGTGAAGTTTGAGAAGAGGATGTATTTCCTGGAGAGCGACCGACGCTACTGCAGGAGGTACAACAGTCTGGAAGCTTCTGTGCAGAATGAGCTAACCTTCTACAAGCAGAAGGCCAAGGAGTGGGCCGAGGTACACACTCAGCTGGCTCTATGTGGAGGATTTCTGAGTTAAATAATGGCCATGTGATATCCCAGTTAACCAAACTCTCTCTCTCTCTCTCTCTCTAGCATGAGGACTTCCTACTGGCTCTGCAGGTCAATGAAGACGAGTACAAGATGGTAAGAAGCACGCATACGACGTTCACCAAACTGAAATCCCCTTCACAATGACACAAACTGCAGAACAAGCAAATAAAATCACTTAATCTAAGTTATTTCAAGTGTGGACAGAGCTCCAACCGTCCAGCCTGATCGGTCCCATCTCCATTTAGAGAACATAAAAGTTGTTTGCGTAGCATCTTGCGGACATACCTGCCAAAGCATTAATTCATGGTTTTTACTAATCTGTATCAATATGATGTTTTTTCAGCATCATTTTTGACATGCGTTTTACATTTAACCACGGCAAAGTATGTTAATCCTGTTGTTGTTGGTATCTACATGGAGATACATCATGCCTCCTCGCCAGCATCGATCGTTTAAGTAAACATAAAATGTAAACTCACACGAGTAATGAGAGGCCAATCAATCTTCGCTTCCATCATCATTTTGATAAGAGAATTTTAACTCTATTTTCTTGTATATTCCACAAATTCTAACATCTGACTGTCATTTTCTTTTCTCAAAGTTTCCAAATGTCCTGGGTAAAATAATAACATTAACAATACATTTAATAACGGGGTGCCTTTCAGGACACCTTAAAATGCACGCATATGAGGGGGGGACAAGGACACATAAGGCAAACGTACAGAATGGTTAACACTACAGTAAATAGGCTCGTTTGAAAGAAATGTACTTTTAAAATATTTGCAGAATAGTTGCTTTATAGGTTAATTTCACTTTGAGACTTCTACTAAATGTACAACGATGATCCCTGACAAGTGTAGAACAGTTTATTTAAGCATCTAAGCTATACAAAATATGTCTGTGTGATTCTTCTCCAGGACGGGCAGCTGATCGAGTGCGGCTGCTGCTACGGGGAGTTTGCGTTCGAGAAGATGACGCAGTGTTCAGACGGACATCTGTTCTGTAAAGAGTGCCTCGTGAAATACGCTCAGGAGGCCGTGTTCGGCTCGGGGAAGGTACACACGCTTTGTTCTTCTTCTCACATTTGGGATATGACATGCTAACGTTGTCCAGAGCGTGTTTTTGTGTTCGGTTTGTTTTGTTTACTGCAGTCGGAGCTGAGCTGCATGGAGAGCGACCTGCATTTGTTGTTTCTACCGGTGTGTGAGCTGGAGAAGGTCTGCAGAGAACTGTTTCTGTAAATTACTACGAGAGGCAGGCGGGAGGAGGCAGGTCGTGCACCTGCGTTTGATGAACTCGTGCACCTCGTTGGCCCGGTTAGGCGTCGGTTTTCGACTTCCAGGAATACTCTTTTTGCGTAAGTGTGTGTTGAGATGTTCATGGTGTGTGTGTGTGTGTGGTTGGAGTGGTCATTGGAGGCCTGTGGTGTGTGTGGGTGCATCTGTGTGGTGAGTGCTG